AGTTTGTACAATCATAGGTTGGGAAAGTAGGCATCACTAGTGCCAGACACTATGTCCAATGAACTTTCCTAAAGATTGGCTTTCTGTTACATTGACCCATCCCATATTAGGTGGTCAAGGTCGTTCCAGATCGTAGTTCTTTGTAGTTTCATCATTCATGTGGTCTATGGCTAACAAATATAGTAGAAACAAATTTAGAATTTTAACTCAGTAAATTTAGAATATCGTCACTATTCTCTTGTACATAACATGTTATAATAAGTAAAGACGTAATAATATTTTTATAATATTTCATATTCATACATAGATATAGATATAAATATAGTCCAAGTCAAAGATAGTGGATACAAGACAAAGCTTTATTTGGAAAACGATGACCCGTGAAGATGGGAACAAGTCCACAATGAGTCCATTACATGCTTAATCAATATATCTATATTTATCTATATTATATTAAAATCACAAGGCTTTAGCGAAATATCGTTCGTCTATTTTACCCTTTAAAAATAAAGTTTACATTGAATAAAATTATCATTTTACTTATCTTCCTAATATTTAGTACTTTTACATCAACTAAAATTCTATTTATTATATCTTTTCTTATTTAAACTACGAAAAAAAGAAATTTAAAAATCAATGGAGAGTTTACCTTATATAAGTGAATCACTGTAACTATGATACAAAAACTATAGACGAGGCCGAAAATTAGATTAACGTTTCAAATGTCTTTTCTTCAAGGAGTACTTAATTATCTTTGGCCAAAATCACTTAACTTGAACTTTCCATGTTTCTATTTGTTTAAATTTTTATTTTGTTAAAATAAATCATAATAGCACTGCATATAATCAGCTACTATGTTTTTGAGCATTGAAGAGTTGTTCTTACCGATTAAAAGTATCTCGTCGACTTTTATATTCATTAAATTAAATTTTACGCTAGACAAAATAGTTATTCAGTTACTTTCCTAACAAATAAGACTTTTTAATCACATAAAATTTTATTTACTAAATCTTTATTTATTAGAATAATAGTGTTCTAATATCAAGGACTTTAAAATCAATCAAGATTTTATCTTATAAACTAATAGTAAGAATTAAATACTAAGGGTTAGAATCTTTTTAACATTATTCGATCATTATCACAAATCTAAATAATTAAGAGTTTATCTTACATAACTATAATACCTTCCATGTTAGTGTTTCTAATGTTTAGTATTTTTAAATTAGGAAATTACGAATTTAATGCATGTTCAACATATTACTTGTTAAAATACTCTTGAAATTAAATAACGTGAATGGAATTGTGAATGTGCTATTTTCTTTATATCATAAATCAATTACTATTTGAAGTCTAAATAAGTGCCATATAGAAAGATAAATAGTTAAACGTCACGGTATCAATTAATGATGAATTTTTAATAGTAATTTCTGATTTCTATACTATATTATGGTTGAACTACTTTTCTACTCAAATAATATTATTTATTTATTATTTCTATAATATTTAAAAATGATACACAATAATTACAATAAAAATTAGCAAAACTTATAAGAGATAGAGGTGATTAGCAATAGTCAATAACACTAATGATTCTTCAAATACAAAGATCCAAAGTAAAATGTCAGATAAATTTTTACCCTTTAAAAATAGAATTTTATTACATAATTGAAATTCGGAATGAACCAATACTAAGAATTTGCAGAAAAATACATTATTTCATTTAGAATTAAGAAAAAAATGACTACGCTTTAAAATTAGCTATAGCAAAAGATCCAATTCAATTCTTTTTTAAACTAATCATCGTACAATAAATTATTTTTTAAGTAGACAAAACTCTTAGGATATAAAAATAAAGTAAATCATTTATAGTATAGTAATTTTAAATTGGCTAAGAAAAAACTTAAAGCAATAAGGATGGAACAGTTAAAGACAAAATATATTCTAACGAATGACAACTCAATATATTTTATATAAATTAAGTTACGTCTTTTGAAATATATTAACTCAATATTAGTCTTTATAAATTTAAAGGGAGGGAAACAAAAAACTCTCTCCTCGCTCCTGCTTCTCTCTAAGCGCAGGTTAGTCTAACGTGCGCTCTGGAGGTCCATGGGAAGGGGACAAGGTCGGGGAAGGGGACGACCTAAGAAAGAGATACAAATCGCATTTGGGAGTGCAATGCATGTTCAATCCAAAGTGAATGCTTCAACATCCAAAAAATAGTTACTAGTATCGGAACCTTCATCGAGCTCAACTGCAGAGAAGAGGCATGTATGGAGATGGTGGATAAAGACAAAATACCACTACCAGTGAGATCTCAGGCGGAGGATGGAAAGCAGCTGAAAGAAATTGAAGATCTGGTAGAAAATTTACCCACTCAAGCACAGGGTGATAAAGTACTAACACAGAGTAACATTGCAAATCAAGAGGCAAATAAGGAGGTTTCTGCATAGCAAGATGCAACTGTGAATAAACCTAAGTGGAACTCATTGTTTGCTGGAAACAGAGCTGCGAAAAATGGTATGACCTTAACCTATTTCCCTCCTCAAATTGTGAATGGTGAAACGATATTTCAGCTGGAGAAAAATGAAGTTGAGAAGGAAGCGGGAAAGTGTAAAAATGTTGTCATTGTCCATGTGATGGGAGAAACAGCAGGATATTCACTCATGCATAGGTACATTTCCCAGATGTGGAATACCATACCTATGCCGGATCTGTATCTGCATGAGGAAGGTTATTATGTGTCTCGATTTCATGATGTGAACGATATGAACGAGAATTTTATTCTCTGGCCCTTATACTATTAGAAATCGACCAATGATTCTGAAACCATGGACCCCTGCTTTTGATTTTAGTCAAGAGTTCATGACAGAGATACCACTGTGGGTAAAGTTTCCCAAATTACCTATGAGCTGTTGGGGATGTGGATCTTTGGGAAGAATTGCTAGTGCATTAGGAAAACTATTATTTGTGAATGAATGTTCGACTAAACAAGCAAGCATCTCATATGCTAGGATGCTAATTGAAGTAAATGTGTCCAAACCACTGCCTGACACAATAACAGTTATGGAGCCAAATGGACAAAAATTTCAGCAGGAGGTGGTGTTTGAATGGAAGCCCCAATTCTGTCCTCAATGCTCAACTATAAGGCACATATTCTCTAAGAAGATACCTAAGCAACAATTGATAGAAAGGCCAATGTAGAACAAGAGAAAAGGTGAACAACAGAAGGTGGTTCAGCAATAGAAGCCTAAAGTGATACCATCAACAAGACAAAATGTGGACAAACAGCAGCTGGATCAAGTGGAAGTAACTCAGCCTACAGTTACTAATAATGAAAGCAAACAGAAACAACAAGAATCTGAATCACAGAGCCAAGTAACAACACCAGATGGAACAGTGAGGAATGTTTCTAAAGACAAGGAGCAAATGCCAAGCCCGGAATTGAATTTGATCAACTTCCCACAGTTGAGTGCTGCTTTGAGTAGCAAATCTAAGAATGGGAATGTATTGGAGTTGCAAAGAGAGGACCAGAGAACCAGACAAGCAAAACCTCCTGATTTGGGAGGTATCACCATTTCATAATGACTTGGCTTATATGGAATATTACAAGTGTAAATAAAGTGCATAAACAGAAGGAGTTAAAGAAGTATATAAGATCAAAAACTATCAAAATTCTGGGCCTGCTGGATACCAGAGTAAAGAAACATAATTCCAAAAATACCTAGAAATATTGCTTTCAATTGGGGTATTATCAATAATTACTCAACTGCTGTCAATAGAAGAATTTGGTTGATGTGGGATCAAGGTGAATATACTATATCTGTTCTGAAGGTGGAAGCTCAACTAATACATTGTGAAGTTAGAGACTTCTCTACTAACTTTCAATGTGTTCTGAATATTATATATGGATTCAATACTGTGGAGAAGAGGAGAAGTCTATGGAACACTCTGCAGAACATATCGAGCAATACCAACTGCCCATAGCTAGTGTGTGGGGACTTTAATGTAATATTGTCGACTACAGATAGAATGAGCTGCCATCCTGTGAGTTTCAGTGAAGTTAAGGACTTTTCAGACTGTATAAATGCCACTCTACTAAATGAATTATAATGAAAAGGTGAATATTTCACATGGTCAAATAAGAAACAAGGAGTAGAGAGAGTTAGTAGCAAAATTGACAAAGCATTTGGTAATTATGATTGGATGATGAACTGGGGCCACATTGTCTTAGAGTATGATCTTCCTAACATTTCAGACCATGCCCCAATGCTATTGACTTTGCAAAGTGTGAATCATAACATCAGAGCTCCTTTCAGATTCTTTAACATATGGAGTGAACATGCACAATTCTTGGAGCTAATTGATGTCCACTGGAAGAAGCAGCTGGATATAGATCATATGCAGAATGTTTGGAACAAACTGAAGGAACTGGGGTCAGTCTTCAGACAACTGAATCAAAAAGAGTTTAAAGCAACATTAGAGAAGATTGATAGGGTAAGAGAAGAATTATAAGGCATTCAAGTTACAATAGGAGTTAGATATGATGATAGTCTAGTGATTAAAGAGAAAGAAGCTTTGATGAAGCTAGAGAAATGGAGTCTGATTGAGGAGACTATTCTAAGACAAAAGTATAGAGCTCAATGGATACAGTTGGGGGATTCAAATTCTAAGTATTTTGCTGCAGTCATGAAGGAAAGAAGCCAAAGAAAGCAAATCATGGAACTCAAGTCCTTGTCTGGAGCTAAGCTGTTGACTGATCCTAAGGAGTTAAAAGATGAAATTGTGTTATTATATAAAGGATTAATGAGGACCTCTAATCAGTCACTAAAGGCAGTCAACAAGGTTACAATGAGCAAGGGACCTAAGCTAAATCATGAAGAGCAAATCCTCATGTATACTCCAGTTACTAATCAAGAGATAGCTGATAGATAGAGTGCAATTGGAAATGATAAATCCCCAGGGGTGGATGGGTATAATGCTTACTTTTTTAAAAAGGCATGGAATATTGTAGGGCCAGAGATCATAAAAGCAGTAAGAAGATTTTTTGAATATGGCAAGATGAATAGAACTATTAACTGCATTTCTCTCATCTTGATCCCTAAAAATGATCATCCTGTTACAGTGAAAGAATACATGACAGTTACTTGATGTACTGTTCTGTACAAAATCATTTCTAAAGTCCTTGCATCAAGACACCAGAAAGTTATTGCATCAGTTGTATGTGAAGCTCAGACTGAATTTATTCCAGACAGGAAGATATCTGATAACATCTTCCTTGCTCAAGAATTGGTGAAGTCCTATACAAGGAAGAATGTGTCCCCTAGGTGCATGATAAAAATAGATCTCCAAAAGGCCTATGATTTAGTGGAATGGATTTTTCTGGAGCAGGTATTAGATGAACTTGGCTTTCCTAGACAGTTCACCATGTGGATCTTAGAATGTATGAAGATAGTTAACTACTCTATATTGGTTAATGGAGAACCCACAATTCTATTTGATGCAGCTAAAGGGCTAAGACAGGGTGACCCAATTTCTCCGTTCCTCTTTGCAATAGCCATGGAATACTTAAGTAGAAAGCTCAATGAGGTGAAATAAAATAAGGAATTCAAGTATCACCCAAAGTGCTCTAAGCTAACAGTGACTCATTTGTAGTTTGCAGATGATCTACTGTTATTCTCTAGAGGAGATGCTGAGTCTGTTTCCATTCTGAATAGGTGATTCTTGGACTTCTCTTCTGCTTCAGGACTTCAAGCTAACAAAGAGAAGAGCTCCATTTATTTTGGGGGAGTTACTCAGGGGGTTCAAGATCAAATTCTACAACTGTTAGGATTTCCAAAAGGAGAACTTCCCTTCAAATATCTGGGGATCCCCCTGGCTACTAAAAAGATCTCCTTACTTAAGTGGCAACCATTGATCAGCAAGATGGTATCCAGAATCTCTACTTGGACTGCAAAGAAATTATTATATGCAAGGAGATCCCAGTTAATCCAAACAGTCCTCTTTGGTATCCAAGCATATTGGTCTCAACTGTTTGTTATTCCCTCAAAAGTACTAAGTACAATTGAGGCCTATTGTCGAAGCTACTTATGGTCTGGCACAAATACAATAATAAGGAAGGCGCTAATAGCTTGGGAGAAGGTTTGCACTCCAAAGTCAATGGGTGGCCTAGGCTTGCTAAACATAAGACTATGGAACAAAGCTGCAATAGCTAAAGCTAGCTGGGATATTGAGCTTAAGACAGATAGACTGGATCAGATGGTTACATGCTTACTACATCAAGAACCAGCAATTCAGGCAAATGTCTATCCCTTAACAGGCCGGATGGGTGGTGAGGAAAATATTTGAAGCTAGAGATACAATGGCACTGATTCAAGATATCAAAACAGGCAGCTTAATCAAGCAGATGTATCTTAAACTTATTGGTGATAATGAGAGAATACCTTGGAAGACACTGAGATTTGGAGATGATACTAGACCAAAAGCTCAATTCACAGTGTGGCTGCAGATGCATGGGAAACTAATGACTGTTGATAGACTTGCCTCCTGGGGGATAAATATTGATCCTATATGCAATCTATGTAATAGTTACAGTGAAACAAGAAATCATGTATTCATGGAATATCCTTTCTCTAACAAAGTCTGGGAAGGTGTGTTAAAATGGATGAAGGTCCCTCTCTTCAGGACAACACAATGGGAACAAATGGAGAAATAGATCATTCAAGCATCAAAGGGTAAATCACAAAGAGCTCAAATCTTTAAGTTGGCATATACTGAATGGGTGCATATAATGTGGATTGAAAGGAATCAGCGAAGATTTGAAAGTAAAGCAAAGAGTCAGAATCAATTGGTGAGGGAAATTGCTTATGTTTGTAATATCTGGGCATCTACTAGAATTAAAAAAACTGGTGCAACAGCTTAGTATTTAGTTTAGCTCTAGTAGTTAAGTATCTTTTTGTGTTCTTGCTTAGATAGCAGACTGTGATGTAGTCTAGCTATGGTTTCTTATTGTAAACATTCTGGTGATTAATAAAATCTTTAATTACCAAAAAAAGAAATATTAGCCTTTTTAGGATTTATATTGTCACTTACCATTTTTTGCCGAAATAGTAGGCCAACAACGTTATTCCAAAATTTCTAGAAAGTTAATAGTCATTTTTTCAATTTATGTTCATAAATTTTAAAAAAGCATGATAAAAAGATTTTTATGTTACTTATTTGTTTTCGGTAGGTCGCATAAATAACAATAATTTTCATAAAATATTCCTACATAAATTCTCATACAACCATAGTAGGATAATAAATAATGATTGAGGAGTTCTATTTACAGTTTCTTCTTTTATTGAGTTAGTGATTGATGTTCGGCCAAAATGCTATACTTTTAGTACATTACTCACCCTATATTTTGTTGGTTTAGTGATTAATTATGCGACATTTGAGCTAAATTATGTTGTTTTATGTGTAGGAGTATCGGAAGAAAGAGTCGAATGAAAGTTGCACAAAAAAAGGACAAAAATACAAGAAAAGAGCACAAAAGCATCAAGTACCCAAGTCGTACTACAGACCAAGTAAAGCCGGCTCTATAGCTTGCCTTACCGTGCTACAGACCAAGTAAAGTCAGCTCTATAGCCAGCTTGACCGCGCTATAAGCCTGACCTCGTCTATAGCCCGGTAATTAAAAGTCGCGGGTTAAAAGACTTCAACCTGGATTTGGACAGAGAGATTTCGGCCCTAACATATAAATACTCCCCAAACGAGTTGAGGGAGGGGCAAACATTATTGGAGAGGCAAGAAGGCTACGAGAACACTTGGAAGCAACGAATCACAAGAGTTTTCTCTTCCGTTCTTCCTTAATCTGTATTTTAATGCTTTCAATTATTATCATGATTGTTAGTATGGTTATGAGTAGCTAAACTTTCCCATCTAGGTTTTGATGGAACCTTTTGAAGGATGATTTTTCTAATGCGTTTAATATAATTTTTCTATTGGAGTTTTTCTTCTTGTTCAACTACGTGATTATTTTAGTTGATTGAAGGGTCCTCAATTAACTGTGCCTATTAAGTGTATATTGCTTAGAAAAGGGTACATATTTAGGTAGTTATTCTACTGTTGATCTTCCTTGTGCTTATTGTGGAGGAAACCACCTGTGGTAAAATTGTCAAAATATTCCCGATAACGAGTTATATGCACCAACTAAATCTTATGTGTGGAATATATGTAATGTTTGTGGTGGTCAAAATGGTCACTTTTATAGTTGTGCTTGTATTTCTTATCCTCCTCCAACCCCTTATTATGATGGTTCTACTTTTTCTTGTGAGGTTAACAGGAACAAAGAACCCGTGGAGGCTGACCTGAAGGAGATCATAGATATATTAAAGTGCCTCATGAAACGAAGTAATAGAAACAACTGTAAATATAAAGGCTAGGGGATACTAACCAAAGGCAATGAGATACTATCCAAAGGCAAGAGGCAACTATTCTTACCTGGAGGCACAAGTGAGGCAATTGGTTGAGGCTTTAAATGCTCAACAAGATAATATTATGAATAGTAGCCAGGAGCAGTGTACATTAGAGACAGAAATTGAGGTGCCAATAGAGGGGGTCCATAGTAGAACACCAACAATCACTCAAACTAGAATTTGAGGATGCCGATGTTGTAGAAGAGATACTAGAGTCAACCAAGGACATTGAGGATACATATTTAGTTGACTCTAGTGTCATTGGTGTTGAGGATGTTGATAGTCCCAAAGTTCATGTAGTTAAGCGCATTGGTCCACACTACAAGTATTTTTCCACATTGTGTTTGGATGATGATATAGAAATAGAGTCATCTGATCCACTTGAGGAGTCAAGGAATGAGGAACAAGGTACCTACATTCTGGAATTCTTCTTGGCAGAAAGTCAGGATTACACACCTCATCTAAAGGCCAAGAAGTGCAGAATACTACATTATTTCCTTGGGGAAGTTTGATTCGTTCCACCACCCCAGGAGCATAATCATAAGCTTGAAGTAAAACTTGGGGTTCAATTCATAAGCTCGAGGTGGAGGCAAAAAAATAATTGCGTCGTGCCGCGACGTTAAATCAGGCGCTTGTTGGGAGGCAATCTAACTTTACTGCTTTCTTTTATTTTTATTTTTTAATTATTTTTTTTATTTGTATTATTTGTGTAGTGTCGATTTTTGATTTTCTAGGAGCATGGAAAACAAAGCTATTGGAAGGATGCAACAACAAACCAGATGGTTGGAACTAAGTGTGAGATACCCGCACGAAGGACCAGGCCTGGGAGAAGTCTGAGTACCCCATGAGCTGCTAGTGCTTCGACCTTTGGCCTATCAGGGAGTTTCTTTTACCCTCTTATTAGTTATAGTGTGCATTGGGGATAATGCACAATTTTAAGTGTGGGGTGAGGAGATTGTCTGGGTGGCTTTTTATGCTATTTTAGTTATGTTAGTTTAATTGAATAATACTTTTTTTTTAGAAAAAAATAGAAAAAGATTGGATTTTTTCCGACGATGGATCTCCTAGGAAATTTTTTTGAGGGACTAAAGTCTAACCAAAAAACACAAAAAAAAATGAAAAACAGAAAAATCCAAAAATATGTCCTTTTATTATTTTAGGTAGTAATAATCCCTTGTGATTTTTCTTTGTGCCTCGTTTCTTTTTCACGGGATGTAGTTGAACCGGGTAGTAATGTTTTTTATCTTTAGAGTAGAGTAGGATTTAGGAAAAAAAAGGACGGGGAAAATGAGATGTGCTAGACGCCTTTGACTAATTTAATAGTAGCATAATTAGGCTCTAGCATGTGTAGTACCTTTCCCATGGTTTGAAAATGCTTATGATGCCTTGTTGAGGAGATAACATGTTTATTAACGCCTACATCTCATTTTCTTGGCTTGTGTCACTTTGTGCTTGATGCTTAATATTTTGTGGCTCCATGAATACTTATAATTGTTTAAGAATTGGAATGAAACCGTCTTTAGTGAGTCATGTGCCATGTATTGTGAGGAATTCTATAGTCTGTGTCATTGCACTAGAGTCTAGAACTTGCCCGGCATGTGAGTTGAAGCGAAATTTTAGGTTTTACTCGGTTTGAAAAATAATTTTAGGCTTTCTTTAATCTTTTTGAGCTTAATGCTTACCACAAATAAAACTTATCCATAGTCAACCCTTTTGAGCCTATAAACTTTTATTTGGCAACCACATTACAAGCCTATACCCCTTTGTTCTTAATTGTCATTGTTTTGATCTTCTTACCTCTTAAAGCACTTTAATTATAAAACGAGTGCTAAAAGAAGTAAGGAAGGAACTTGGATGTCTTTTGAGTGGAACAATGGAAGAAAGAAGGGTTCACTTGTATTGTAAGGATTACACCACTAGCAGGAATGGTAGAGAAAAATAAGTTATGGTTGAAAAGAAAGAAAAAAAATGTAGCAAAGAAAAATAAGCATATCTTGTCCTTGCTAGTGGGTATGAATTAAAGTAGTGCTTCAAGAAAGAGGAAATACTTTCGGGGTGATATTGTTTGTGAAATTGCAGTTGGTTGAAGAAAAATACGCTTAATGTTAATTTTGTGATGTGTTAAAGTGCTTAGGATGGTTAGTCACTATTCCTAAATTTATCCTACCCGTCCTTTAGCCCCCATTACAACCATAAAAAGTCCTAATTGATTTTAGATCGAGCAAGCCTACATTAGTAGAGGTTTACATAATAGGCAAGCCTATGGTACTTTGTGCATGCATGTGACTTCTTTGTGAGAGTGAGGAATTTTTTTGATTTATATGAGTCCTTAAAATATATTTGAACATTTGATTCGAGTGTGTGGATTCGACTTACTCTTTTGTTCTTGTTGTGAGGGCACATGATTTCACGAGAGATAAGTGACGTTATTAGATTTCTCTATGATATTAAGTGTCCAAGCCATGAATGCATTGTGATACTGAGTCGGTCTAGGAGGCTAGGATTGTTATAAAATTTTTGAAGTATGGAATAAAGTAAAGGGAAGTATGTGTTGAAGGCATATGCTAAAGTTTAATTATTGCTATCAACCATAGTCATAGGTATGGTGCACTTCGGATGTACCAAAAGAAAATAAAGTGCTCTAGGTTAATGTTAATCGGTGGTTGACTCGAGGACGAGCAACGTTTAAGTGTGGGGTGGTGATGTTCGGCCAAAATGCTATGCTTTTAGTACATTACTCGCCCTATATTTTGTTGGTTTAGTGATTAATTATACCATATTTGAGCTAAATTGTGTTATTTTACGTGTACGAGCATCGGAAGAAAAAGTCGAATGAAAGTTGCACAAAAAGAAGACAAAAATACAATAAAAGACCACAAAAGCATCAAGTACCCAAACCGTGCTACAGACCAAGTAAAGCCAGCTCTATGGCCTGCCTTAGTAAAGCCAGCCAGCTTGACCGCGCTACAAGCCAGGTGTAGCCAGCTCTGTAGCCAGGCTGACCGCGCTATAAGCCTGGCCTCGCGAAGTCTATAGCCCGGTAATTAAAAGTCGCGGGTTAAAAGACTCCAACCCGAAATTGGACGGAAGGATTTCGGCCCTAACATATAAATACTCTCTAAATGAGTTGAGGGAGGGGCGAACATTATTGGAGAGGCAAGAAGGCTACGAGAACACTTGGAAGCAACGAATCACAAGAGTTTTCTCTTACGTTCTTTCTTAATCTGTATTTTAATGCTTTCAATTATTATCATGA